GGCCTGGAATGTGATTCCTCGCCTATTATCTGTAAATCACCAAATAGGGTCATCCATTAATCCTCTGCAAATCACCAAATAGGGTCATCCATTAATTTCTCCCACGCTGATACAGCTTACTTTAAAACAAACGGTAACACAGACCCTTTCCTGTAGCAGAATTCACGAGCTCTGTTAAAATTATCGAAGCCGACATTGTAAAACTGACGCGACTGAATTATGAACTTCACTAATTCTTAAATACTGTTGAGTTATAAAAGTAGGCTCTTATTAATACTTAGCAAAAACCCCACAACACTGAAACCATCAGTTTTAAATGTTGTGCGCTCTGTGCTTGCAGATGATCAACCAGAGCTTGTCCTACTTCATGTTCCTTCTGGAAATGAAGAACATGATCGAACATAGTGAAGATAATTAGTACAGAATCACAGCAAGGAGACCAAAGTAACACTGGACACCATAAACAAGCAAAGAGTAGTCTACGTTCACGCACTTCACCAAGCTTCATACCAGTGTATTAAACCTGCATACTTATTTGCAACGTCTTGTTGGAATGCTTCGTACAAATGGATAAATCCGCATCAGTCATAAAATATAAACACGTCATGTCACATAAATGCAGACACAATCTCACCAACAATCCGAACCATTGTCCTTGCCTTTCTCTCAGTCTACAGTTCAAAGCTTTGTTTCTCGTCAAACGAAAGGGAAGGTAAGGTTGTGGCTAATTAAAATAACTCACACATACAATTATTTATTTATTTACAGTTCATGTGCATTATGACGACTCCTTCGCCAAACGTGAAAAGGGAAGGTAAGGTTGTGGCTATCTCACATAACTCACACACACAATTATTTATTTATTTATTTATTTACAGTTCATGTAACTTCGATGTCAATAGCTCATAATATATGACATCGAATTATTGAATGATTAATAAGTAATGAAATGGAAACGATATGGATTGAAGAAGTCGTGGCTTAATTTAAAGCTCTATCGAGGAATTTGCCTGGAAGACCGAGAAAAACCACGAACAACCTCAGCCAGGATAGCCTGTCTCCGGTTAGAAATTTGAACCCAGCATCTACCAAATACAAAGAATGAATACTAACCACTCGATTACAACGTTTGAATAATGACTCTATGTTCGCGTTGTCACTGACAAGAATTGCACTCTTTCTAAGAACCTGGGAGTTTTGGAACGTGCGGGTGGCTATAATAGGTTCCCAGCAAAACTTGTGTGGACAGGTGACACTGAAACCATGACCTTTCATTCCGAATGACCCCTTTCTCTCAGATTTCCCTGTATATGCCTCTCGATTTAAATTGTAAATACTGAATAAAGTCATAAACAATGGAAATTATCTCCCTGCATGAAAGGCACACCCTATCGTCTACCCAAATATATAATGGAACAAGTATGAAGAAAGCAACTATTATTTACAAGAAAAAAATAACTTTAAAATTAGAAGGACAATGAATTATTAAGTTATAAGAATTTTTATTGCTATGCTTATGATCTATGGGAAAGAATCATAATCCAAAATGAAGAATTTTTGTAAGAAATTGTGAGGTCTGAAAAGGCGCGTAAACTTAAACAAATAACAGTGGCTTTGAATAACTGAAAAAAATATAGAAAAATTACAATTACTGGAAATAAAACATCCAACCTAAAAGTATTAATTTTCATATTAAATCGCATGCGTGACTTCTCACAAAGAATTGTACTTTCATAGCTTTGTCTCAAAGTTGAAATTCGCAATGCAATAAATTAATCAGATTTTAAACTTCGCAATTGTGGCCCTTAAATTCCTCTACACTAGTTTCAGCAATATCGACATGACGCCATTGCATGTCACGCAATTGTTGCGCAAGCTTAAACGATTCCGTCAGTCGCAATCTCGTTTCTCTACAGTGCGAAACTGAACCTTGATGTTAGCAGATGAACTGATAAGTTTCGATTTATATTATTTTTATTACAAGTTTCAATTTATTATATTAAAGTAATTTTAAATTTAAATAAAATTCTGACAACTTTCAATGCATTATAACTAATAACTTTAAACAGAAATTAATTTATAAATCTGAGCATAATACATGAACTGAAAACTTTAAATGTAACTTTATTTGTATTACTTTCAGTATAATATATAAGCTGACAAGTTTGAACAAAACTGATTTATGATAAATTTCAGTACAATTTATTAACTAAACACTTTCAGCATTCTTTGCCGTCAAATTTCAATACAAAATTCGGCAAGTCATAATGGCGGACAACAAGGTGTTACATAAAAATCAAGTCACAGAAAATCGCTTTCGGTTCCATCAGATCATGTTCCGTATTGCAGGATGTCCCATATTTCGAACAAATGAGTCAAAAGTGGTCTTCATCTTGTCGTTTCTTTGTTTTTACATAAATTTTGTGGCTATACTTATGGACATTTACGTGAATATACAAGACATGGAACATGCGATGGAGAACGTGAGATTGGCTTTCCCCATTGCAAGCGGTTTATGCATTCATCAATTCATGAGGTATGGTACAAAGACTTCACCATAAACATAGAGTTACTGTAAAAAATGGCACGGAAAATTATTGTTTCATAAATAATATGAAAAATATGATCAACTGTAACTAAATTTAAAGTGTTATGAAGTTTCGCAGCAAACGTTTTATTTATTTTTCTCACTATCCAGTAATTGAAAAGAAAACAACTTGGGAGACCTGGGCGTAGATAAGATGATAATACCAAAATAGACCTCAGAGAAATAAACTGTAAGTGCAGAGACAGAATTCAAATCAGGGCCGGATTGAGACATGTTGGGGCTCAAAGAAATGACAAGCTCAATAAAAGATATCAAAATAGTTTTAATAGGTACAAGAACTTTAATAAAAGTGTATTAGTGGGCATACGAATACAAAAAAAAGAGTGAAACGACGAACTAACAGAAAGTACTATACACGAGTGTAAGCTACATATTTCATTTTGTGTTGTAATTCGCTAGTCCTTCACACAGATACTGATGGAAAGCTGAGAAATATTAAAATTTCTCACTCAGCATTTGGGTAATATTGTGGATACGCAAAAATAATCAAAAACACAATAGCATGTGATATATTAACATATGAGAATATCACTAACTACATTATATGGCACAGAAACAATTCAAAGATAAAGTTGTGTTGTTTACGATGGGTTAGGTTGTTTCCTGGAGAATTTCTGTCGTGTTCATTGGGAGGTCGTGGGGATGTCCTTTAGAAGTGCTGGAGAATCCTCGAGAATTCCTGAATAGATCCTGGAAAAGTCCTAGAGTACTGTCGGAGAAGTCTCCAAGACGTTATGCGGAAATTATTTTGTCATGGAGAATTGCTGAAGAAATCCTGTAGAAGTCCTGTAAGGTTATTTGGAAGTCTTTATGTTGTGGTGGGTTTGATCCCATGCGGTTTGATGATTTTGGATTCGTTTAAGCTTCATTGGGATAAGTCACATTGCATTTTGTTGCGTTTTGGGTTAAGTTGGGTTAGGTTAGATTAGGTTTAGTTAGGTTAGGTAAGTTAAGGTTAGGTTAGATAAGGTTATGTTGTTTTACGATGGGTTGGGTTGTCCTGGAGAATTTCTGTCGTGTTTATCGGGAGGTCGTGGGGATGACCTGGAGAAGTGCCGGAGAATCCTGGAGAATTCCAGGAAAATTCCTGGAGAAATCCTGGAAAAGTCCTAGAGTAGTGCCGGAGAAGTCCTGGAGACGTTATGTGGTAATTTTTTTGTCATGGAGAATTACTGGAGAAATACTGGAGAAGTCCTGGAGAAATCCTGGAGTAGTCCTGGAAGGATATTTGGAAGTCCTTAGGTGGTGGTGAGTTTGATGCTATGCGGGTCGCTTGGATCCTTAGGTTAGGTTAGTTAAGGTTGCTTTGTTTGCGATGGATTAGGTTGTTTCCTGGAGAATTTGTAGCGTGTCAATGGGTGGTCATGGGGATGTCCTGGAGAAGTCCTGAGGAATTCCTGAAAACGTCCTTGAGAAAACTTGGATAAGTCCTAGAGCAGTGCCGAAGAAGTCCTGGAGGTTTGTATGCGGAATTTCTTTGGTCATGGAGAATTGCTGGAGAAATCCTGGAGAAGTGCCGGAGAAGTGCTGGAAGGTTATGTGAAAGTCGTTAAGCGGTGGTTGTTTTGTCCTATTCTGGTCGGTTATTTTGGATTCGTTTACGGTTGACTGGGATAAGTTACATTGGATTAGGTTCCGTTTTGGGTTAGGTAAGGTTAGGCTAGGTTAGGTTAGGTTTAGTTAGGTCAGGTAATGTATGGGTAGGGTCTTTATGTTGGGTTAGATAAAGAAGTGTTGTTTACGATGGGTTAGGTTGTGTCTTGGAGAATTTCTAGCGTGTTCATCGGGTGGTCGTGGAGAAGTGCTGGAGAAGTGCTGGAAAATTGCTGGAAAAGTTCTGGAGAAATCCTGGATAGATCCTACAGTAGTTCCGGATAATTCCTGGGGAGGTTATGCGGAAGTTCTTTGGTCATAAAGAAGTGCTGGAGAAATCCTAGAGAAGTGTTGGTGAAGTCCTGGAAAGTTATGTGGAAGTTCTTAAACGGTTGTGGGTTTGATCCTATGCGTGTCGTTTGTTTTGTATTCGTTAAAACCCTTAACACTTAATACAGGTGTGCGTGGATCAGTCTTATAGGTGCCGAGAGCATGAGTCAACATTCTCTTAAAAAATAATATTTTCCGCACGAGATTCAGCAGAAAGAGCCAAACATTCTTCAGAAGTCTTTCTCTTCGTGTTTCAGGCTACGAAGAGGTGCAATAGAGCAACTGCTGCGCCTTACAGACCGATTCACTTGGAATGGGATGCTGACGCGAGATCCCGACACTGGATACTTAACACTGGCCGTCTGGATCCCTCGAATTGACACTTCAGCTCAGAAAATTTTTGCTCTTCTCGTCTTCATACACTTCATATATATTTTCTTCCGCTCCATCTCCAGCGACGAGCGTCAACTGCAGTTCAACTCTTGGTATCCCTTCGAAACGTTAGTCAGTCCACAGTACGAGCTAATAAACGCAACGCAGGTACAGTTATCCGAATAACTAAATTTATACTCATTTTTCGGTTCCATAAATAGGGCACTTCAAACGAAGCCGGCGATGAGATAATGAACAAATACATCGACGAGCAGAACAAACAAATCAAAAACAGATCGAAGATGAAATGTATAAAACACACGCAGTTTACAAATTGGAATACGTAAGTCAAATTTGGGTTTTAAAACTTTAGTAAAATTTAAACAGCGGAAATGAAATTCTTACTACGTTATTCCTCGATACTGTGAACTATTAATGTTTCAGGTCCGCCTGAACTTCCGTAGGGAAACGCGAAATATGTTACCCGACACAATATTTTGACTTTCAACTTCTTCCATTTAATAACTTTCGAAGTATCTAATCACCCAAATGGGAGAACACCTAAGAAGTCAAAGTAAATTAGCTAACAGAATATACAAAAACAGACCATGGAAACGTTTTTATGGCTGTATACAACAAAAGATTCAGACACAGAATGACGCTGAAAAAGTGGACATAAAACCATACAGACTCAGGCGAAATTTAGCAAAAGAAGACATCTCCCTGCACTGCATAGTGATAATCGAAAACTTTAATGACCATACTTAATAACAATCATAATACTTACCTGGACTTTAAGTTTATTTCGCAATTAGCTATAAAAACCTCTTCATTAGAAGAATCTGACACCACTGCCTCCACCAAGTTCACTGGCCTACTAGATGATTTAACAAGCAAATAGGTTAAAACAACCACAGCAACTGAGCCACATTTCTGCTGGTCACCGTTGGAATATAAGATACACAAATACCCAACACTGCAAAATGTTCAAGGTAATAATTCTGTACCTCGATATGAGAATGAAACACGAAAAAATATAATTACAAAACTTTGGTCTATTTTTTAACACATGCCTGTTCCCACCAATTAACTGCAGACCTATAAAGTACAAAACGTCGGCGGTCAAAATGCTCAGCACTTCACATAATTCAGGCTGTGGACTTCTTGGTTGTCTTGTAGGTGGTTCTCCTAACGTTCCGGGGGCCAACCCTGCCCCAAAGACCAGCAGACTACAACATGTAAGACTTAAGGTGGCTGTCTTCTGGGTTGTAGCGCCGTGTAGTCTGATAGAAATTTATTGATGAAGCAAGTGTCTCTGTAACATCGTAAATCTTCTACAGCCATCTTCATATTCCCCACCGCGAGAACCTCAAATCCTACTCATGTGTGATAACTGTTTCTTCGGTCAACAGTTCATCGGATCCATTATGTGCCTCTGCTCTTTCGTGGCATTCATAAGTCTGTACGCCACCCTGGTCTGCATCGCTTGCAGTCAGCTGGAGAAGCTGAGAGCGAGCCTCTTGGACATCAGACAGAACCGCGACATATCAAAGGACTCGGGTGCTGAGACTGACCAAGAGGAAATACAGGAAGTACACATCTCTCAGAAAATGTTCAATCACATGCAGAAACAGCTCAACGACTGCATACGTCACCACCAGGATATCTTGGAGTACGTTTTAGTCACATGGGAATCTCACGATGCCCTTTAATCTGTTTCGTATGTCTTAAGTGCTTTAAACATTTTAACATAAATATATTAATATACAGATTGTTATAATAAAGTTCATTATTACAACTTCCAGGTGCTTCCACTACAAAAAAAATATTTGTCTTGTGACTAGTATTTGGATCAATGTATTAATAGTTTCTCAACTGGTTCAACAGCTTCATAAATTGTCAACAAAGTGGGAAAATATCAATTTTGGCTACCTGAACTCTGACTTCACTTCTTTCTTAAGAAGTGACAGTGCAGGAAAATGTCCAAAATACCTTTTTAACTTGAATATACCGGCATGAAACAAGCAAAGTAATCTTTGGTCCACAAAAACGTCCCTGATGCAAGCAAAAGCATGCGCTTTTATTGGTTTCTTCCAGGTTCATGAGGGCTCTGGAGGCGACAATGAACCCCATGATGCTTGCCCACTTCCTGCTAATAGCGGGCGGAATGTGTTTCGCGACGTTTTCCGCAGTGACGGTACGTGGTTTTACAATGCCGAAACAGGCAGATAACTGTAAGATCTTCCCATGCGATTTAACTTTGCGAGCGATGAGAAAATCACAGAGGGTTTACATTCGAGAGCCTGAATAAAAGTAACCATTCGCAAGACCTAGGCATAAATGGAAGGCTAATATTAAAATAAGTCTTGTGGAACATTTATGGGAGGTGCAGTTAATTTATTTGACTAAGGATAGCGATCAATGGCTGGCTCATGTGAACACGGTAACGAACCTTCCTGACAGCTCAGCTTCTAAGTTATACTTAACTCAAAACCCATCTTCTAGCATTCGATGGCGAAGTTCTGCGTTGTGACTAACACATTTATCGGCAATTCGCTCGCTGCTGCTGTGAAATTCTCTAGTGATGGGTTCCACGTTGAATGGGACACTCTGTAGTCAGTTAGATAGGTTCGATCCTCGAATTTAAGGGTTGAAAATCCACTCATGCAACAGAGTACCCTTCACTATTGAGTTTACACAAGACAGTTACTACTAGAAATTATGGGCTCGGTAAGTCGGCCTACTGAAGTTGGTAAATCTACTTATATCACAACTTACACTGTTTTCGCAGAGTTCAGGACGCCTCCTGCAGCTGGCACAGATCCTGATCGTGTACATTGCCTTCGCCACCCAGCTGTATACGTACTGCTGGTTCGGAACAGAACTCACTCGCCAGGTAAGCTCTGTCAACACCAGAGTTCTTACCCCCTCATCTCCAAGGTAACAATATAGGGACAGGAGTAGGCCCTAGTAATAACTATGTTGGCCTGCTAAGGAACATCGTATGTGGCCGTGCCATAGCTCAGGCGATTAGTCGCCGGTTTGTCACCTCCGAGTCCCGGGCTCGCACCCAGGTCAGTTAATTTATGATCTGTGGTGGCGAAAATGTCAATGGGACAGGTCTTTCTCAGCGTTCTTCGGCATTTCCTGTCAAGATCATTCCACCGCTCCTCCATATGCATCCATGTATCATGTGGGCGATGGACAATGTCAGCGGCCGAAGACCTACGTTTAGATGGCAGGATAATATTAAAATGTATCTAGTAAAACAGGGTTTGTATGGATTGTATTCATGTGGTTTAGAATAGAGACCGGTGGTGGGCTCTTGTAAAAACGATAATGTACCTTTGGATTCCACAAGAGGCGGGGAATTTTTTGAGAACCTGAGCGTAATATCAGCTCCTCAGGAAATACTCCGTCCCATGGAGTTAATTAGAAATCGTCCTTCAATGGGAGTATGGTAAATACGAAGAATCATTGCAATTTTTTTAAATAAAAGATTTACACCTGTTGCAAGATCCGCGAAATACTTGCAGGCCGAGTCTTTGAGCGACGCAGCATGGCGAAGCGACTGGATCGGAACACCGGTTTCGTTTCAACGCTGCCTGATCTTCATCATAGCCACTGCCAGAAGAGATTTCGTCCTCACAGCTGGGAAATTTGTATCCGTGTCTCGCGAGACAATGCTGACAGTAAGATTTATTACCCTATAACTTTTACATTTGTAAATTCGTGCCAGTCCTTCCTACGCTTAGCTATCCTTTAGGCTCTTAATATAAAATACTAGCACATGTCCGCACTACTATCTTCTTCGAAATTCGACATGTGTTTACAGTTCATACTAATGTTTATTTCCCAAAAGCTCTATAACAGACCTGATAATTAGATGAGTATCTTTAGATATCACAGGAAAAATTATTATTACTAAACCAAATATATTCACTGGGATTCAAACCCAGAGCAGTTTCCGAGTTTGTAAACATTGTTCCTGTATTCTCTCTGCCGAAACAATTTTGTTTCCGGTCCCGTTCTTCTATCATGCTTAGTTGTCGAGCAACAGAAACCATCTTCACAGAGACTCGAACCCAGGATATTTTCGGGGTTACTGCATTATCCTTTTTGAAACAAATAACTTTGATCTTGGCACCGCTCTCCTATCATACTTACTTTCCAAACTGCAGAAACCACCCTCAAAAGGACTAGAATTCAGGATACTCTTGGAGTTCTCACCTTTCTGAAATCTTTTCCTGCTTTCAGTTAGTTCAGTTTAGTCATTTCAGGTTAGGTGACGTCAGGTTAGGTTAGGTTCATTAAGTTAAGTTAGGTTAGATCAAGTTAGGTTTGGTTGGGTTTGGGTTGAGTTGAGTTAGGTTAGGTTGAGTTGGGTTGGGTTAGGTTAGGTTTGGTTTAGTTTCAGTTGGGTTGAGTTTGTGTGATTTTGGTTTTGTTGGGTTAGGTTCTGTCTGGTGATATAATAATATAATTACAACCTCCAACACGCTTAATTACGTTTCAAACCACTTTATTTATTATGGTGACATGTTTCGGAATTAAAATATCATCTTAAGGCCAATGTCGTGTACCGCGCCAATCTGTATTAACACTTCGCTCTCTTACGTGTTTGAGATACACGCCAACAAAATCTCAGCTTGAAATCATTTAAGTGACCGCATCGTTTTGTATTTTACTTTCAATTTAAGAATTTATACTGTTATTTTATAATTCACACATATGCTCTTCCCAAAAAAGCATTACGAAATCTGGGCTTCTGAAACTTCTTTATCTCCATTTCTTACCGAAATTTCACGTTGTATTTTTACAGATAATCAACCAGACAATTTCGTACTTCATGTTCCTGCTCAATTTCAAAGACATGGACACAGATGCAGATCAGTGAGCAAACACGCAGCGTCGCATCGCATGAAAAACATTCGTATAAAACTTCCACAAATTCTAAGCTTATTTCTCAGCACAGATATGCATATTATAATACATGCTAACTAACTAACTATATGGCTTACAGAACCTGAAGATTCATCACCGAATTCACCAATGCCCTCCACTAGACAAGTTTCTCCTCCGTTATATGATCCACGTTTTATTATCACCTAAGTAAATGTTAAATCCTTTCCTACGGTTGTACGCATTGATGTGTAGTCTGTATCAGGTACAATGAGAGCAATTAAAGATTACAGTTATGTACGTATATTTTATTGGTACTCCTTCCTTGCCCTTCTACTTAACAACTGAATAGATGTAAAGGGCGCTATTACGAGTTGTTATTCTTTCAGAATACCTACGCCTCCAAGTGACACACGTGAAAGATTAGAAAGAAATACACAGTTTTGACCGGAAACCTATAGAAGACTCGTGCATAGATGACAAGATACTATTAAAGTGTACTGGTGTCTGTATAAATTGGACATAATGACATGGATTTTATTCAACTGGCTGAGGATACAGCTAAGTTGCAGGCTAGAGTAAAAACGTTAATGAATCTATAAGTCCCATAAAAACAGAAAATTTCTTGATCATCTGAGCGACTGCTAGTTTTTTCAAAAAGGAATGTTCCACGAAGTTAGGTGGAGAGGTAGTTGTAACTTCATATTTTATAAAATTGAGAGAGAAGAAACATCTGGTCCTTGGAGTTAGGTAAATACGAGCAGACACAGGCCTACATCATGGTCAATAAAATTTAACACACTTTAAAATTATTTTATAATTCTGATTCCCTTACTCTGTTGCTATTAGCATAGATGAAATAAGTCAATAACTGAATAAATGGCCTATAGATGAATTTCATACTTTATAAACATCTCATCTTATTGTCAGAGTGGTAAAATCAAGATAATGATGGAAAAATAACAAATGAATGCACAATTTTGACGCGAAACCATTTGAAAAACTGTTTGATCACAGAAAAGGGGAATAAAGCTGACCTTCGGGAAAGAGATGAAGAAACAGGCTAGTCTAGGAATGTACCCTATGTCGGTATTCGGTATTGGTGACGTTGAGCCTTTGGATTTTACTGGCAGAGTCAGTACTGGCTGGACGGAGATTTCGACGACAGAATGTTTCGGCGTCCCTCTATCCTCCTTAGTAATATTCTGATCCAACTGAATGTGTCGTATTAATTCTTTATCTGACAAGTATTAGTACCCACACTGCAATAATTGTGATACCTGTCCCAATGCACTGAAGAACTCTATAAACACACACATATGAGCATATCAATATGAAACATTTTTATCATAAACTGATCAGTTACTGCTTATAAAATGTGTGCAAATGATACTGAGTGATAATGACAGTGTCTCCTCAGCTAAATAATAAATGCTAATTGACAGCAGAAAATGGATAAAGAAACCGCTGAGTTAACATTAAGGTATAATTCAAGGAAAGTTTGGTGATCGTGAATGATGTATAAGCTCAAAGTTTCATCTAAAATTCTAACATCTTATACCAATTTTGTATAAGTTTCTCTTATTACTTACAGTGACGGACAGGAAACGTTACGCAACAGAATGGTATAGACGCTTTTCCAGAACCTAACAGTATATTTATTTCATGGCCTCAACTACATTTACACTGACCGTACCGAAGCAAGTACCTACAGCGTTAATATTGAAGGAACTTACGGAAGATATATCTTTACCTAATTAAAATTCTGTCATACTATGTACGTCACATTTATTGTCATAATTTCATTCACAAGCTACATGTCCCAACTAAAATGGAACTTTACAGAGACGGTCACATTACTGTTTCTATTTAGAGAGAGAATGAAAACAGATTCAAATCAGAAATTTCAAGAAACGAAAACACGTGTTTGCGAGTCTGCGTATAGTTAGCCCCCAGTTTAATTCTCTCTACTAACGACTAATTAATGTGTCAGCAAATATCAAGTTTCAAATAAAAACCTTAGTATACCAACTAATGCTGTAATATCACTGTACAAATCTTCACTTTCGAGTCATGTTGAACAAAATGTTAAATCAATGGCGCTTTTTTTTACAGAAATGGTATAGCAGCAAGCGTGATTGAAATCAAAGTTATCGATACTAATTCTGGTAGAAGTTTTAAGAGTAACTAAAATACCACATTCTGCGCAGTCGAGCAAACAATACGAAAATGTTAAGTGAGCGAAATTGTTTAATGAACGTCTACTAAAACCGACATCCACAGAGTCTGTCATCTAAGCGCTAACACAATTTCAAACTCACCCTGATAACGAACACGTACAGTTCAACGATTTCTTCGTGGTCATTGGCATGCGCTGGAAGTTTGGGAATTTAAGCTAGTGAGAGGAGAAAACAGCAAGGCCCGGTGTCGGCAGCGGAAGGAGCAATTGTGACCACAAAGCCATGGGGATGCTGGGAAATTTAGTACGCGGAGATTTCTTTATATTGTACCAATTTACATTTTAATGTGCTATTTACAAGATCTCCCTGCAGTTTACTTAATACATGCGGCATACGAGAAACCAATACGATTTATGCTAGCTATTACCACCCCACTAACCTATCCACACTTGAAATTTTTCGTGCACAGCGATCAAACAACAGCCCCTGAGAAATAAGTTTGTAAAAGTGGATTAGATCAAGTTCCCCGCGCAGAAAATTATTGTTGGCCTCCGTAAAATATCTGAACTGTAACCTGCTTCTTGAATCCTTTGTTGCGCAAGCATCTTGTTACAAATATAGGCCTATCCCATCCCACGGGGATCGGTTAGATTGGACAATTCCAGCTTAAAACTAGACAAAACGTTGGTTACATACCTTGTGGGTTACCTTATATTAATAATACGCTTTAGAAAAGAAACACCTGTCCGACAAAGAATACTGAAAATTACAAACATATCCGATCGACACAAATTAATAAGGTCGCTTCTTCTATGATCATACCAATGAACCCGCCCATTTTCTTTTTCAGTTCTGGTTCAATTACGATGACCAAGTTACAGTCTTAAACATGAAAATTATCTGGGAAATTTTTTTAGAGTACCTATTAAAAGTTTATATACGTTTAGCCTAACATCCGTATTCCAGATGTTGAGCAAGATATTACGTAGCGGTAACTATTTAAACCAGAAGATCCGATAGGAATGGATGCTTCTATTCTGTTGTCCACTTTTGTTCTGGAGGTACTCAGATCGAGTCTTAACCGTATTATCATCTATCATAATTAAGACATCGTAATTTTCGTCACTTTATTCGGGATAATGCCTGTAATTTTTCACTTACAATTTCAAGCATTCTTTCGTAAAAATATTGTCAATTGCTTAACGACAAAAAACCTTATACAATTCACATTAATAAAATTTTGTTCTACAAGTCAATGTTTATTGCCCGATTATTGTCACATGACTCTTTACTAACGTCTGACCTTAACGTAGCGCCAAAAAATTACGAATTAAGAATCCAGGGAAGATGAGAAGACTCTATCGTGTCCTATATAAATGCACTGTCCTGGAATTCGCATAGAGGTACAGAAAAATATCAGCAAGAACTGTCAATAACGATAACCAGTCCTACGCAGGGATTCCAACAGGAGCCTGTTAAATGTGGTTCTTAATTGTTCGGTTTATCTCAGAGCTGTCAGCCGACAGAATTCTCGCATACGGCTGGGGATTTCACTGTGACGTACATTTGAGTTAATTTAGGGATAAACTTTCTACACGGTGAACAACGCTGTCTTTTAAGATCTTGCGATATGTAGTTTGGTAGAAACTGACGGACGTTTCAGAGCTACTTACTGTTTTTACCATTAGGGCGATGAGTGTGTCACTACCCTGGTCATGAGAGGCAGTAAACACCTATGAAACGTCGTACAATTTCCAGTATATGACACTGCGCAAGATCCCTGAAGAAAAATAATTTTTATACTCGTCGCCCTGAGAATCTGAAATGTCATTGTCCAAATGCTATTCGCGAGAAGATGGTTTCTTCGAGAAACAGGGCTACAAAATATTATGAAAAGAATATGATATACTAAGAGAACTTTTATTCCTCGAATTTAAAGGCGAGCTTCCACCAATTAGCGTGTAGTTGGACTTAATGATAGGCCCTCTGGTCGTCAGGCAGATACTCGACCTAGTCTTTCAACTCTGTAACTTTGAACGTCACGGAAAGCACGTCTAACTTCTCAAGGAGACAGACGCAGGCTATTTCAATCAATACTTGTCAAGTAACTTACACTAAGTCTAAAAACTTAATTCCACATTGTGTTGGTTCCAATTAAACATATTCCATCTTGCATAAAATGAAACCATAATGGGAAGATAATGTCTGTCTCTGTCTAACCATTAGTAGCATGTTTCACATCGGAAGTACTCTCAAAGGATTTCTTTGAAAATTAAAAAATCCGCGAATAGTTAGTCAGCTCCAACAAGAAAAACCAGCGCTTTAAGCGAAATATCTTGCGCGTAGTATCGAAAGGATTAAATAAGACAATAAATCAAATAATAATTTCAGCTTATAAAAATTTCTACATTACTTTCATTAACCCCTTTTAAATAGACTACCTGTATAAAACAGAGGTACTCTCATTATCCAAGCTACGTGAATTTTATTTGGTCCACACACTTCTCCTCAGACGGTCTAAATCAAAACAATTAACAGGCCTATAGTACAGACGTATAAAGGAAGAAAAGTAACAGGTGGCTCAAACAAATGTTTGAGTGCCGCCAACAACTAGGAAGAGTGGAAGACCGGAGTTAATGGATGAAAGAATGCAGGATTCAGTATCAGAGAGAAATGAGAGACATAACAAGACAAAAGAAAAATGCATAATGATGAGCTTAACAAATATTAACGTTTATCTACTGGGCCAAATATGATGATAATCACATCAAAGAGGGTTGGATAACCAGGTCATGAGGGAGATGAGATAAACAACACAACACTTTAGTCAGAAAAACCACAAATGAAGATAATGCTTTGGTGATATACCTGCACGTGAGGGGATAATATTAAAATTAATATTTAAGACTTTCAAAATTCAAGTATGTGGAAATTATACTGACAGAAGTTATGAATGAGCGATAAAGCGGGCGAATGAGTAAGTCTGTGACAGTAAATAGCGAAATGATAAGGCCAGAATGAGTGATGTATTTCCAACATCTTGTTTTGTGGCATTCATTAGTAAGTATGTTCCCACCCATACGTTATTCCTGATGCAAAGAAGCTTATCGTGCAATTAAACATGAGCGACTAGCTTCAAATGATTATTGGCCTATGCACCATCAATATTCGACAAGCCATTTTCGTTCTCAGTATCGATGAATAATGCAGAAGCAATTTCAGAAGCAGTGAACGTCTAAGACAAAATTACTAGTCACATATTTAGCCACCGTGGGAAGTCTTACAAAATGTTAACAAAAGCTGAAATGTTACCGCTGGAAAAAAAAAACGTACTAAAAGGTAAAGCAAACTCCGAAGAATTTAAGCGCCATTTATTTGTTCTGAATCTGTAATTTCTGTGTTAATAACGGGCATTTTGTTTCAGAGTGGTAGGAAAATTATTTGAAATTAAAAGCAGGCAATAAAACTGCCTGTACTTTCGTAACCGACGTTTCAGAGGCGTTTGTTGCCTCCATTAGGGAAATCGCAGAAAGTAGCTCTGAAACGTCGGTAAACATCTACCAGACTATGCGGCGCCAAAATCCAGAAGAGTCATATTCATGCTTATCGCCGTGAGAACCTTAAATCTCACCCGACTGACTGGTCTAACTGCGGTAATTAAAACTGCACAACCAGTGTTTTAATGACAGACGCTGACAATACTGACATCTAATCTTCAAATAAAATAAAGTAGTTATTATAATTTATGATTTTAATATCAACAGTAATTAAAAATGTGGATGAAACAAACAAACGTAGAACAATTTTAGCTTAAGGGCTCAGACTACCTCTGAAATAGAACACAAATTTCAAATACGATATATATTTTAGTGGTTATAAAAGTATTTCCACACTCACCCAAAAGCAGTGGAGACGCGTGTTATGTGGTGTAGTCCAGAGTTCGCCGCTGTAAACAAATTAAGAATATCCACTCAATCATTTTGGTCACATGAATGAAACATATAAACAGACAACATACAGAAAACATATGCCCACTGCAGAACAGGTTACATATCACATGATTCTACTAATAATTTATTTCTAATGTTGCAAGTAACTGATTCAAAATGTCTCAATGTATTACGTCGACAAAATTTCCCGTTATTCTCTCGGTTTATCCATCTCTACGGATTAGCCCCAAAGCTTTATCCGATTTTATAGCCATTTCAGAATGTTCTTTGTACATCTCCGTATCCATTTTGTTTGCGCTCAATAACAAGTTTTCTGGAATATTCAGCTGCCTTTTCTGTTAAGAACGGTTAGCCGTTTTTGTCTGTAGATTGTGCTTGAGTTTACTGAACAAACATTTATTTCCTTTCATGCATCTCCGTTTCTAATTGTGTTTAATCCGTAAAGGTTTTACGTTCTCACGGCGGTGAATACGAAGATGGCTTTCTTCTGGGTTGTAGAAGTTTGCCAATGTTTCAGAGGTCCTTGCTCCCTCCCTTATCAGTGCGATATCGCCCTGATGATGGACAGCCATCTTTGTATTTAATCTTTCACTTTTTAAAAATATGATTTCCATTGTTCAAATTTCACTAATACTTTTGTTTTTGCTGATCCAAGATTCACTTCCAATAACATTTTATACCATCTAAAAATCAAACTCCCTCTCTGCAAGGCAGAACAGAATGTACGAAATAAAACAACTCATGCGCTTACACGTGAGGAAATATTTTTAATTGTATTGACACAGACGATAGGGAAATTCGATAAAAAAGTAGATGTGATCTGTAGACAAAATTATATTCTTTTTCTCTCCCGCATTAAATGTATTAATTCTTTCATCAGTAAGTAGTTTTATTACGTACCTACGTGCATTTATATGGTACGATAAGTATAAAATAAATGAGTATCAAAAGTTTCTAAAAATAATGCGTTATAATGTGAAAAACTTCGTCCAAAGTTTAACATTATAAAATATGGTATTACAATTTAGACGATGGACAAAGTCCAAAATAACAGTTCTACATAAGAACTGCGTAGGCTGCCATATTTCAAAGTTTGTGAACTTCTTCCAACTGCTTACGTAGAATTTTGGTGTTAGTTGCGCTAAAGTTTGAGACTTGAGACACATTCGGGGAGGGGGAACGATAACAGGTTTCCAGATTCATTGATAAAAGACAACCTTGCGCCCTGCTATTCCCGCCACAATGCACGATTTGTCAAAAGATCAATACAAGACTCACACTTTTTTCTCTTCGAAACTCGTGGGGTAAACCGGTCAATTGATTGTCCAAGTAGACCAAGCAACGTTCGGACTATGTCAGTAATTATTTCCTAGACAGTGATTACATAAACGCTACGTAATTTTACCACATTATTCAAAAACACGTAATTACTTCATGAGACTGACTGGCACGTGATAAACAAATCGATTGACAAACGTAAGTAACAAATAAACAGACGGGGTGGTTAACATTTCTGCTTCGTATCTGAGTGACCCCGTGCTCTAATGACGACCCGGAATCCGACGATCCTTACTGTGGATTTTCGTACTTTTCCTCGGAACTTCTATGCAAGGGATGATACTTTAAACCGGGCAATTGCCGCTTCCGTCCACACAAATTCCACTTCCTTATTCACTGAACAATCTATCATTTGACTCTATACAGTCTAAGCTACCGACAGCGTTATTAAATAAACCATTCACACACAAATAAAATACAGGCAGACTGACTGCCTGCCTGATAAGCTTCTCGTACCCACTTAAGAAGCTGGGTGAACTCTTCAGACGGTCAGATAGTCGTGACGAAAACAATCCCAGCTTATGCCGACATCCAAACTTCACGCGTCCAGTCATTGTACTAACCTCTCATTCTTACACTGAATTAAACACACACCAAATAAAAAATCCCTAAAACTGAAATTACATTTTGTTTGCAGTGTCCTGATTAAGTGGCGAGTCATCGTATCTCTGAAACTAAAAGGAAGCACGCTTAGTATTCCAGACGAGGGAAGAGGTTAGAACTGCTGTAGGGTCGACAGTCAAGGAAATAACGAGAAGAGACGTTGTTGATGCCATAAAATAATTATGCACTGTGATAACGCACTTTCAACAAGGCCAGAGTCTTTACTGAAACTTGTCAAATGCCAGCTTTGGGCAAAAATGTTTTATTTTATTTTATTAATTTGCTAATGACCGTTGTACATACCCTTACACAATGAATCTTATTCGTAAAGTACAATGACCTTTAACTTATTAAGTTCTCTCCCTGACTGCCTTTTGTATAACATAATTTAAATGCCCAAGAAACAATATGATAGTAGAGAACGCCACTGGACGATAGACGCATAAATTGAACAACACGGAATATCTGCAACAACAAAAAATGTCACTGCCTTGGCCTGTTCACACAGAAAGAAAATAGTTTCGCAATGAATATTACGCAGGATAGCATGTAATTGCTTAATTCTACTTTCCGCTTAATTTCAAAGAAAAGGGATAATTAACTAATTATCTTTCAAATTAGACACAGTTCCTGCAAGATTATTAGAATCTACCTTCATTTTATCACGCATACCAACCAATTACGCGTAGTCCGAGTCAGAGTGCGGGGCTGGAGAAGACAGTCGGTATCCAGCTGTTGCTGTCAACTTGCTGAATGCGATTTCCTCATAGGATGAAAGGAGATTGGAATGAGAATGAGCGCAGAAACTTTGAAAAACTCTTCCGCTTTTATATTCTGTGGTTTCGTCTCATTTGCGTTCCTATAAAATCTCACAAACCGTCACACATCTACACTCTGTACTCAGTGTTACTCACGCTGAACACGTACACAGCCATCGCAGCCATTATGGCGGATGTGTTTCAGCATGCAGACGATCTGGAACGCGTCATGGAAAACTTCAGGGTAATATTTCCATCCCTGAGTATTATGTGGGTGCAGCTGTCCATGAGGTAATATTGTATACAGCCTACTGATTAGAAAACTCGATGAAAATTTAATTTACTTAAATTGCATTCTGAATGTTCTCTTCCTTTCAGATTATCCAAATAAAATGTACTTCAAGCTACTCTTCACCTACCCCTTACTATATTCTCTCACATTTAATTACCCTTGACTTTAAAACCGTAATACAATACTGAAAACATTATGTACGTAATTTGCACCAGGCACGCCATTTTTATTTACATTTTGTTAATCGTTGTAATTTTTTATTTTCATTTATTGCTAATTTTAAATTACTGTATTTTCTTTTCCACTCGATTTAATTTTGGCATCATAAATTTTAACCGTCCTTAGGACACAAGGTTGAGTGTTTGGGTTTCTGATTTTCATCAAATTCGGTAAGAAGATAATGCTGTTGGAGGTTATCTATTACAATCCACATAAAAAGCAGTTTTCCTCTGTTTTTACAGCGCATAGACTAGAACTTCAAATAAAATCCACAAGCTTGACAAAATCTATCACTATATACATATGTACCAACATTTTCCAACGAACTGTTCTGAAAAATGTTACAAAGTTGTAGTTGAGCTTCGGAAACACATCGTTAATTATTTCGTCATCTATACACAGTTATACCAATAAACATACGGGTCTCATCTTAAGAATTAGATATGCCACATTCTACGCAGTTACATGTGAATTTATACCTTCAAAATGAACGGTTTGTCAACACCTGTAAAAAGTACGAAATATATATTTATACTTGAAGATTGCTGTCTTCTGGGTTGTTGCACCGTTAGTCTGGTAGACGTTTACCGACAATTCAGAGGTTCTTGCTGCCGTCATCATCTGAGCAAGGACCTCTGAAACGTCGGTAAACTTCTATCAGACTACACGGCGCAACAACCCAGAAGACTGCAACTTTCAGACTCAGCGCCGTGAAAACCTCAAATCCTACATATTTTTACTTGCTTGCTTATAATAATTAATTAACCTGCCCAGCAAATTTGTCAACAGCCAGAAAACGTAATCATTGTTCATTTACAAAAACGTATGTCCTTATGGTTCAGATTCCAGAAAAAATCCATGGAACGGCTAATGTATCTTGCCGCAGCTTTCAAGTGGGAAGACGCACAGGCCAAAAAACCTGCTGACGACAGTTTCAAAATGACAGCCATCCTCCCAGTCATTAAACCAGCAACCCTGAGAATTTCAATATTTTTCGTCACTTTCCACACGTGTCATGTCATCCTGCGACTGGCTCTTGGAGAAGGAAGACCGCTGAGTATCAATGCTTATTACGGCGTCAATGTATCCAGCAGCCCTCTGTACGAAATGGTCAACGTCTCCCAGGTAGTTAACATACAAATTATTATATACTATAATGTGTGCGTGTTTTAAACTATATTTATATCTCCTTAAATTTATTTATATTATCCATCTATACCACCCTTGTTCATTTAACAAAAATAATGCTAGTTAAAGAATAAACATATCGGCTACTTATAGAAAAGACGATGATACACAGAATTTCCACCTGAATAATAGCAATGCATTTTGAGAATTCAGTCTGATTTTAACAATATCAAGAACATGCGTAATTCTGATTCGTTGTTACTTCAAAGTAATTACAAATTTGAACATTTTCAAAATATCGCATTTTCGTACATAATGATGATATTCTTATTCTCGTGATAAAACATGAACTCTTCACTATGCGACAGTTCTTCATGGCTGCCAACTGCTTTCCATTATTCTTCGGCTACACCGGTCTGTATGCCTTCTTGCTGACCATCGCCTGCAGTCAGCTTGAGAAACTGAGAGCTAGCATTTTAAATATCAGACAAAGAAACGACACATCAGAAGAGGACTCGGACGCTGAGAACGGCAAAGTAAAAGAAGGGGGAAAAGTTCAGACCTCTCAGCAAGTGTTCAGCCACATGCAGCAACAACTCAACGACTGCGTACGTCATCACCAAGACATACTTCGGTACGTAAATCAAGCACTCTGGTTGAAAGCGTAAGTTCCTGCGCAGTTAAAATGCAATTTCAATTGCATGAATCACAGATTTCATGCATTCCTTAAACACCCCCGGCGCAATATATTCCATTTCGTTCACTGTCAAAATTGGACAAAGTAAACTACCACTACCGTTTTACGTTGAAGGGGAAAATGCAATGTTAAATGCTGTTTTTCAGCAAATATAGAAATTCGTAGCCATCAATGAAACGCATGTTGTATTTTAGATAAGATAATGCGTTGCTTACTTATGTTGAGCGGTGTTTCATATCGAAGTGGCCTTCACAAATATGTATGCAAGATCAGCCAAGTTACTAATTTCGACTACCTTATTTATAGTCTCACAACCTAATTATTTGATAGCTTACGCAAAAATTAACTCATTCATTCATCTGTCTAATTGATTGTTTTTATCTGGCAGGTTCATGAATGCATTGGAGGAAGCCATAAGCCCTGTGCTAATGGGCCAATTTATCATAATTTTAACTGGCATGTGCTTCGCAGCATTCTCTTTTGCCATGGTACAGTATACCCTTTTAACTGTATCGGTCATGTTAAATCTTAAAAATTAATTTAGAGGCAGATACACAATACTGTATATATTACTCGATGTTTTCGTGGGTGAAAACTCTGGTATACTACTCTAAGGAAATAAGAAAGAATAAGTTATCTGAAAGGAGACAGAAGTTCAAAGTTTACATAAATCAGGTTGCTTGGCTCCCCTAGGAGCAGTGAAATGAATAGTATCTCTGGAACTACTGCATTTGGCGCGCACTGAAAGCCTCTCAAGTACCAATCGTGTTATGTATGACAAGATCGAAGCCTGCCTGAATTTATCAGAGACTTTGACCTTGGACTTCGACACATCTCGCTTCACCCCTGAATGGAGACCTTATGTTCTTCCGAGGTAGGTAAAATTCTACAAGGCGCAAGGACCCAGAAGAGTACCTTCTACACTCACATCACCGTAGAAACCAAAACCGCCTACTCTAGTTAGATTTAAAGTAAGGATTGTTAATTTTTCTGTTCCTAGTAAGAACTGTAATAAAATACGCTTTGTACCCACAGAGTTTAGGAAACGTATTGAACATGGCTCAGTCTATCCTGGAATACACCGCATTTTTGGTACAGCTTAACGCCTACTGCTGGTTTGGAAGCGAGCTGACTCAGCTGGTATGGAAACGTTTCAACACAATTTACACAAATAAAAGGAGGAGAAACAACGATTGGGACCAGCGCACAAATGACAAAAAATGAATTGTTACAGGCAGAAAGCGTGAGGGACGCGGCGTATGGGTGCGATTGGGTGGGGACTCCTGTCTCTTTTCCTAAGTGCCTAGTCTTCATCATCGCCGCCGCCAGCAAGGAGTTCACCCTCACAGCTGGGAAATTTGTTCCAGTTACCAGATCTACCATGCTCAATGTACTGATAATGTATTATCATCTTCATTCAGAGAATGCATTAAATTAGTAATCAGTGCAGGTTCCGAACTTACATTGATCTTTCCTGAGGTTTCGTTTTCTGAATTAGGTATAAATCGCTGGCAAGTTCATAAATTAGATTGTTTTCTAACACAATATTAGCAAAATTATCACTAACAAAATCGTAAAAAGAAACGTTGCTTAAACCTTTGAAGGCGAAGATTGCCTAAATAACATTTAATGACTTAGCCCGTGCAGAAAAGGAAACACAGCACTTCACCATTACAAAGTTCAATTTGTTAACGCTGGTTAATAATCGCCGTATGCACTGAAAATTATACAAAACACATATATAAAAAATTGCAGGTTTACTGAATATTAAGGCTAGTGAATTAGTACCAGACTTTAAAGAGTCAGCGGTAATCATATTTGACGAAAGACAAGGCGGAAGTAGGTGGGCCGAGAGGCAGTTCCGACATGTAGTAACAATATAGGACCCAGTACCGAACAAAATAAATCTAGTCGACAATGTCACATCCTGTTTCATTAAAATCCATGTCATTATTATCGCAATCTACACCTAGGTCTCGCAATAGGACTCTTCTCTCCAAACTTCCCGATTAATTAAATTGTTATGACTGGATGTGCGTGTATGTTCGCAGGTCATCAACCAGACATTCTCGTATTTAATGTTCCTGATGCAAGTGAAAGAGAAGAACAAACATGTATGAGATGCTGTACGACACAAAGCTGAAGAGTTTCTCTAGTTACACAATAATAATGGCATTCGTTCCATCACGTTCTGTAGAAATTTGCTGTACTCTTTAAAATACAATAAAAAGCTAGAATAAACGTTTTACATAAAATCCTTAACATCCAGTTGAACTGAGGAGAATGTATAAGGAAGTAAGAGTGATCTATTTTAAGGTAATATCCCAGCATCATCCTGGAGGGACTGACTAAAAGATCTGAGTCGGGCTAACTGACCTCCGGGCCTAGAATCGAACCCAGTTCCTCCCCGTTACGAAGCAGAGTGGGAACAACCGTGATGTTCGACAAAATGCAAATATCGCCAATATCAATTCGTAATTTGAGACTAAAGAAAAGTTTGAAGTAACTGTTCCTGCAACGAAACTTCAAGTAGGAAAATTATAGTAATTACGTTTCTAATTATACTAATTTTCATTCTTTATGTTATACGAACGTGTTAAACCGTGGCAATTACATTTCGCTTTATCACGCACACCGATAAATTCTGAGTAGTCACACCACAATTTATAACTCATTGGTTCTACAATTTCAGAATCCACTGTCTCGAATTTTACGTCAGTCGGTTATAAATCCTATCTTGTATCAGAAGAGATTGTCGGAGAGAAAAATACCACAATCCTGTTAAACAGCAGCTGTTTCTTATTACAATTAAATTGCTGAGCAATATATAACTCGCACAAAATGAATCGAAATGAGATTCAGCACGAATATAACACAAACATGGAAACACTTTTTGGCTTTTACTTTAAATGGTTTCGTCTCGCAGGTGTTCCTCTAAAATTGAACAAAAAATCGAAGTTGTACAATCTTTATTCCACAATTATGTTACTGAACGCATATTCCGTCGTCATAACAATTTCCGTGGACATGTTCCTGCACTTTGACGACTTGGAGCGCATCATGGAGAACTCCAGGGTCATAGTTCCTGCCTCAAGCTCGCTGTGGGTCCACATGTGCATCAGGTAAACAACACTGCAGATTCTGAGGTGGGAATCATATAAGTGCCGTTTAAATATTCTGACACCGAAGACTGTATAAGTAATAAGTTACTTAAAAGTTAGATTCATACCTCAAAGAAAACGTACCTCTTCTCCATTACGAAGATAAATTGATTAATATTGTCTAAGGAAATAATCGCTGTTTATTCAGAGAATCTTATAAAACCGAGAAATACATTGTCGACAAAATAAAAAGTTAATTATATTAAAGGAGGTGGTACAAAAGTTACCACTGTGCTCTAAAGGCTTTGATCTTAAGTTGTGTTGTATTCTATGCCAAAAAGAGTTTTAAAAAATATGTAAATATCATGAGATATTTTTTTAAGAATGAAAAACAAACATGTGATTGCCATTTAATCTTAAAAATAAACATTATTGTTAATCCCTAACCATAAAACGCAAACGTTTTTGGGGAAAATGTTCAAGGACTCGAACAACCTAACCTAACCCGTAATTCTTTGCTCAGCATACAAATAAGATTATTTTCTGGACAAAATCTAGATGTCTAACAAAAATTATATATGGTGACGAAGAAATCGCTCCTTGAAAATCTGTAATAAACGTTAAAACTGTCCCTGTGATAAATTAACCAACACTCCAAGGAGCGGGAGTGTCGGGGTAAAGAGAAACAATTAATAAAAATCAATAACCCTGATTTGAAATTTCGCAGTTTAAAAACAAATACAGTACACAGAATTATACCCGCCTCGGTTTTCGACAGTAGTGAAGCACTGTGAATTCAGTAAACAGTCTCAGACACTCGACTTGTAAATCATTTGATTCAGATAATGGTTTTCTTCCGGGTTGCTGCGTCTTGCAGTTTGGTTGAAGTTTATTGCGCGCGGCTTACTCATCGCCCTAACTGTCGAGGAAGCAAGCACCTCTGAAACGTCGGTAAACTTCTACCAGACTACACGTCTCAACAACCCTGAAGACGGCAGTCTTCGTACTGGTCGCCATGAGGACCTCAAGTTGCACAATGTGATTCAGATTTCAGAAGAAGGCATTGGAAAGGATGATGCACCTCGCATCAGCTTTCAAGTATGAAGACCCGCAGATCAGAACACCTGCAGACAACAGCTTCAGAATGACAGCGCTTCTCACGGCTATCAAACCAGCAAGCCTCAAAGTTCTTGCTGTCTCCTTAGGATATCACACATTTTACATTATTATCCGTCTGGTGGCCAGAGAAGACAGGCCTCTAGCTATCAATGCGTATTACGGGATTGACACATCCAACAGCCCCTTCTACGAAATTATCAATTTATCTCAGGTATCACTTTAAGGTATTTTTATTAAGTTGAAAATTATACTCTACTTACGTACGTAATTACATTTCCACTCTCTGATATTGTGTAGGTCTTTGAGGCTTTAACTGAAAATTCAAACTTACAGAATTAGCCAGAAAATATGAACTGCGTCCGGTTAAACCAAAATCCATTAAACTAGTCTTCCTTTATATTAGGCCGATACCAAAGTGTTCAGAAAAATATATACAAAATAAAGATGTAAATTCGCAATTCGGGATAAGTCTATTACTTCAGAAAAGTTTCGTGACATATATAGGTAACCTAGTATAGTACGATATCAAATCTAAAACTTCTTGACGATAGTGAAGAGTCAATTGAATAAAAATTTACTTGGATATTATCCATCGTCTAGTAAATATAAAACGTAAAACGACGTTTCGGAGATGGGACTCTATCTCCGTCTTCAGGTTCCTACACAGTTGGGCCCACTAGATAGAGCTAATCCCTATCTCCGGACAAAGTAAAAAAGAAAAGTATAGTCCTGATAGTGAAATCTGGGAGATAATGACAGGCTACAGTGCGGATACAGGCAAAACATCCGAAGCTGTTAAAAGGTCACGTCAAATTAAAAAAGTTGGTACTAGCAGTGAATTGGGGTCTGCTATCTGAGCGTTAATTACATTAGCTGTTAGGATAGGGAGTGGATCGAACTGGCTCATGACTGTGTCCAATGGTTAGTTTTAGTAGTACTACTACCACAGTTCGTTTCTTAATGACATAACAAACTGTTGGCAGTTCCTCATGACAACCGTGTGCTTCCCGCTTTTCTTCGGGTCCACCAGTCTGTACGTCTATGTGGTGACGATAGCCTGTAGTCAGCTAGAGAAGCTCAAAGCGGCCATTTTGAACATAAATCAGAAAAGGGACATGGATGCCAATTTCTACCAGGAGAAGGAAGAGAGACAAATCCAAGTTCCACAGGAAATGTTCCGTCACACACAAGAACATCTGAACGACTGCATTCGCCATCACCAGCAAATACTTGAGTATAAGCCAAATTTCCAGTAACTTAAATTCATAGAAGACGTCTTGTGGAAAGTTATAAACGCTTTCCTACTCTGAAACTAATATCTTTCTGTCGCGCAAATTGTACAAAACTCCGTCGTTAAACCTGTCTCGCAAGACCGATCTGCCCTGCACGGTAAAGTTAAATGCAAGATTTAATATATAATTCAAACACGAAAATTCGCTCATATTATGGTTAAGAGCACGATTGGGATGTATTTCAAGTTTTCTGAAACCACCACTGGTATTTCAATGTATATCTAACCAGCGTAATTTTTAGTTCAATAGACATGAGACGTGGTTGTTAATAATTCTGCACTACTGACGTGCTACGAAAGATTACACTTCTCTATTTATGAGATTTATTTGCAGCAGATTCCTATATAAAGCAACAATAAACCCCATCAAAAGGAGATTACGAATTATGTGTTCACGCTCTGCCAAGAGCGACAAACACTTCATTTTTAAAATTCATACAGTTCTAACGGCTTCTAACTATGTACCTGCTCTTATGTGACAGACTCATGAATGCATTGGAAGAGTCAGCGAGCACGATTCTTGTGTGTCATTTTCTCCTGATACTGGGTGGCACGTGCTTTGCAGCCTTCTCTTTTGTCATGGTAAGATTTCTGCTGTCTGGCAGAAACGCTAAACCTGATCATGTGCGAGATATTTCCAATGTCAATACATATTATACCAAAACAACTTCAGGGAACAACTCGTCATTCTCAGTTTGATTTATATATTTAATACACATAAACAGACAGGCTTTAAGAAACCATAAATTGCTTATACAAAATGTGGACGGCGTTTGTGTACATTTTTAGCGACTTTAGATTAGTAGAACTTGTAAATCGTCAAACATCTAGTTCTGAATTCATATTTTGATATGCATCGCACAAAAAAAAACCTTCGTATAAATATGATCATAATCCATCTGCATAAAAGTTCAATTAGTCCTATCTAAACTAATTTATCAGTGATAGTTCTCAAACGTGTAGTGAAACATGCAGCTTTTTTACAATCTGCATAAAAATATCTCCACCAAAAATACAAATATCACAGCTTTCGACGGATGGATTCAATAAACATTCTGGTTCAATAAAGAACACGATATCAAGTGGGATAAACTGAAATTCCTTTTTACGAAATATTACGCAAAAATTGTTTTACAATAAAATGGCCTTAGTGCCAAAGTGGTGGATAAATTCACGAACAAAACTCCCCTTAGGACTTCATGTTGGATATAAAGCAGGTGTGCTGGTTATTCTACGTTTATTGATTTTTTTAATAAGACGTGTTTTGTGCCCACAGAGTTTTGGTAATCCATTAAATATGGCCCAATCGATGTTGGTATACGGCTCATTTATGTTACAACTCTACGCCTACTGCTGGTTTGGGAGCGAGCTGACTCGACTGGTATATGAATGACAATTACACACAATTTCGACAAAATAAATACAAATTAAAGAACTCTAATTGTGACACAAACACAAACTGTTCCAGGCAGAAAGCGTGAGGGATGCGGCGTGGAGCTGCGACTGGGTAGGATTGCCCTTATTTATCCAACGCCCTCTCGTCTTCATCATAGCCGTCGCTAACAAGGAGTTTACCCTCACAGCTGGGAAATTCGTTCCAGTGTCCAGGACTACCATGCTCAATGTATGATTTTTAGGCATTCTCTGAATGAAGAGTGTAGGTCTAGCAAGATAATCGTGTATGTGTCAGTATGTCATCTCCGAAAAGCAGACAACAAATAACAGTGCAATTTTTAATCAGGATTACACATTTTCTGGGTCTAAGCATCGTTGTCATTAAGGCATACGTGTAGTGGAAGCGAGCAATCTTCATCACTTTCTGGTTGCTTTACCACCGGGTAAAGGGTAACAGTGCCTTAATAAACCTCAGAGACGATCTGAGCCTTGGAGAGAAGGTTAGAATTTAGGGAAAATATGTATAGCGTAAACATTCTGGCGCGTTTGCCATAATTTGACCTTTGACATGGAGATTCCGCATGTAAACCATAGCAAACAAAAATACCTCGAGATTCCAGACCAAGCGACTTCAGCGCACAGAAACGCATGCAGATCTTCAAGTAACGTGCCTGTTATTATTGTCATATTTTACGAAAAATATTAAAGTTTTCACAAATTGCATTATAACACCCCATTATCGACTTTAATAGAAATCAGTTCAGCTGCTCTCGAGTTCTTGCATGTGGGCAGACGGACAGATAGAGACAGGGCAAAGTTAATGGGCTAATATTAGCAAATTATAAAAACGAATTTTGTCATCACGTGGTCAACACTACTACTTCATATTCCGGAGGACCCGGGTTCAAACTTCGGCCCGGATACCTGCTATACTAACTGATGCTTGTCATGATTTTTCTCAGTCCCTCGAGGCAAATGCTGGAACAGTAATTGAAGTTACATTACGATTACGTCCTTTTACAATATTTGCAATTAATTACTCACTAGGCATCTCTTCAATTGACGCTGCACAGTCTGAACTACCGAAAGCGACATTCTATAAACTACATATAAATAAAATGTATTCACAAACGCGCTTGAGAAGCAGTAGGAAATCGAATCCCGGTCGTTCAGAAGGTCCACATAACCAACCACTTTTATGACTGAGGTAACATAAAGTATGATTAAGTGCTTATTTTGTCCACAGGTCATCAACCAGACTGTCTCGTACGTCATGTTTCTCATGCAAGTCAGGAACAGAGAAGAAACAGTATAAAACCGGCGCTAAATGTCGTACAGCCGAACACCGTAGACTTCTTAGTCCGCATTCTGCTTCAACAGTGTATTACAAGCAAACACCTGAAGAAAATCTAATTGTCTTGGAACACGACCCGAAGTTTCAACACCGTTCATATTCAAGCCCCAACACTGGATACGATTATAAGCCAGTTTCATTCGCCCCGCTTTCTAACCACACATTTCCCTAAGATCCGTTTGAATGCTAAACCCCAGTAGAAAATACAGCGAATGATCTAAGAGACATAAAACAACTAGGACACTTCAGCAATGCAGAATTCTGTATACATGCAATGATTAAATGTTTCCATCTCAGTAAATGTTTGTAAATGAATTAGATATATAGGTTGAGTTGCATACAAAAACCCATATATACGAATAGCGGTTTTCATATATTTGATTTTATTTTTTTTAATTTCAGAAAGAATCCGGAGTTGGAGTCCAGTCACCTCAGTAAGAGTTTAAGTTTCCCAGAAAAATAAACACACACCTGACTTCTCACAGTGATATGTCATCATGCCTTAAACACAGAAATTCCAGTAAGAAATTTTGTAGAAATATTCACAATTAAAACAACACGTCCACAGTTTGGAACTAACTATTTAGTAGCATAAGACTAAGACTCGCCACTCGATACAGTCCTGAGCCAGTTACATCCATCTCCGATTTTTCAAACTATTTCCCTAAAACAGCATCTTTATTCGTTATTTTCCCACCTTCTGTATCGCCCCAGTGGATGTTTCACAGCAGACTTAAACATTATAATTCCTTATGTATTACTTGACTCTCTACCTTAGATACATGTTCAGCCCATCTACACATGCTATGTAATGTAACATTATGTAACATAAACATGTTTAATTGAGGTTTCATTTTTATTATTAGCGAACATATTGCTGAATCCTCACTTCCCAGCAGATCGTATTTTATGAGGTTAAGTACATACACTATTTGTTTCGTCTGCATGTGATAGCTCATATAATCCCTTGGTTTGATAATCAAGAGTATTACGACGCATAAATGAGTTCTATAAGAAAAATGAAGTGTTATTTGAAAATTTAACTAGTGTTTCACATAATTACCTTTGCCCTTTCCAGGGTTAAAAGCTGTAACAGTTACAGTTTTAAATTCAATCCCTGTACAATACTTGCATGTCACTGACTTATGGACGGATGAAATAATCAACGCGAATGACCAATGAATTAATTAGCACAGAAACAAGAACGAAGTTCTTATTCTCAAGTACTAATTAGTGGAATCACATTATTCTCCAACCACTCATTGCCCCATAATGATCTTTATAGGATTCTCAGTAATTTCTTCACGTACTATATATAAACACCAGTAATGCTTCCAGATGTTTTAGGGCAGTCGAAAGCCTGGCTGGTGGTGGTAAGCAACAAAAGGGAGGAGTCTAGCTTTTTTTACAGTTCTATTAGTATAATTCTGACCGTCAACCAGCAAAACGTAATTTACGTAAAATTTACATAGGCTGAGATATAATATCTGAATAATGAATCAGAACGAAGATAAACGTGCGTACGAGTTGAAAAATCGTTTGGGATTCTACATTTTTATATTCCGACTAGCAGGCGTAGATACACAACCGCAAAGTAGCTGGAAACTGTACAACGTATACGCCTCAGTCGCATTTCTGTGTGCTTACGGGAGCAGCGTGGCTATTGCAGCAGACATGTTCCTGACAGACGACTTACAGCACATCATGGAGAACATGCGAGCGCTTCTGGGATCCATAAGTGCCTTCTGGATGCAAAACTACGTCAGGTAGCCCGACAATAAATCTACGATTTAAAATCAGTTCCATTTCATCACCTTAACAAATAAAACCAAACTCAGTTCTTAAATTAATTCTCATTTCGTGCCCGCAATAATGAACAGTAGTAATCTGTTGGCAGTAAGAGGGATAAACTGAGAGTAGTGCATAAATGAACCCAGAGAGTGGCGAGGTCGTGTCTTTTCATCTTCAAAAATTTCCTGGGGGGCGAGTTTAATTTTGTGATATTTGAGATTCTCACGGCGGCGAGTGTAAAGATGACCTCAGAGTTATTGTGCCCTGCACACTGGTAGACGTTTGCCGAAGTTTCCGAGGTGCTTGCTGCCTCCATCATCAAGGCGATAATCGCCGGACTGCACGGCCCAACTCAGAAAGAGGTCACTTTTGAGTTTAATTCTGTTTCACATCGGCCAGAACTTGTATAAAAGCAAAATCAATTATAATTAATAGCAGTAGTACAAACAAAGTGGCACATAACAAAAAATGCAGTTCTCTTTGAGATCCACAAGTTCTTTTGTAACATTTCTTTATATTTCTTTATGTGTACCTACAATTAACGAATAGGAAATAAAGAATTTCATGGTTATGTGCTCTATGCTATTTGCAATGTGATCAGTTTAAAAATAATATATTTTTGTCTAAACATCACGGCCAACGAGGCTAAGAAGAACTGCACACTGCACGTTTGAAAACGTTTAAGTCCTTCGAACTGCAGGAGCCACGTAACTCAGTAGAGTCACTAAGCTTGACGACCGGTGATCGATTCCCGGAGCCCACCCAGCCTCGTATCCAATAGGTACCAAGGGCTTATTTCCTCATGGTAAAGTGGACGGGGCGTGAAACTAACTATTCATCTCCATCCAGCAGCGAGGTTACGAATGAGTCTCGATATACCCCCACTATCCCATACGTAGTCATGAACCTACTGACCTTCACCTTATTACTCCGAAATGCACCTTTCCACGCTTGTTATTATTACTGCTGTGTTTTATACTTTTCGTGCTCACATAAAGACAGGTACTGGCAAACCTTCCAAAAATTACATAGTGTTGAAAATACGTCATTCGTTCATCCTCTATCTGTCTCCTTGATGTCAATTTCTCATCATGTTGCAGATTCCGGAAGGACGCAATACTGAAACTCATGGGCCTCACAGATTCCTTCACGTGGGACGAATCTCCCGCCAAAGATTGTCACACAGGGAAAACATCGAAAGGCTCCCTTATCCCTGTGATCAAGAATTCTGTATGGAAATTGTGCCTTTTTGTTATCGCGTTTCATGGAAGCTATTTCACCCTGCAGGTCTCTCTTGGCCGCCGAATCCTGTCCATTAACTCTTACTACCCTTTTGACTGGACCGTCAGCCCACTATATGAACTGGTAAACATCACGCAGGTAAGTAACAGGTACTGAGGTTTAAACCGAACATCTGTTTTTGGGAACGAGAATACTTACACTTCTCCCTTGTTAGCGAAACAGTTCTCTTGTCTAATTCACCACAGAAGCCACAAACAAATTAAGATATTTTTAAAGCTAAATAAAGTTTAATAAGGAAAAATAAAAAACTTGAGTCCAGAAGGACCAATTCTTTATATTGAAGGGTTCTAGTATATTTAAATGCCTATATAACTTCTAAATATACAACGTGATTATTTTACTGCATTCCCATTGGATGATTAAGTTTCAGAGGTGCTTACTGCCTCCATCATCATCGCTCTGATTATCTTTGATAATCTCAGATTTTCTGCCCCATCATGGTCGGTAGGAAATTTATTCTTCACTTAAGTCCTTCTTCAATATAGTATGGACGTGGGAAACATACATCCCAATTTAGTACTGCACTGAAATCTACAATAGAATAAATAATACGACAACGAAGTGATTAGTCAGCATACTTGAGCAGACAAATAACTAAAAAAATTCACAAGAAGATTAGTGTCTTTGTTGGAACTATTAAATATGCGTGTTTTCAGTTTGTTGCAGCTTCAGTGTACGTGTGCACAATATTTGGTTTCCTGGGTCTGTACGCCACTTTTACCTGCATCGCCTGCACTCAGCTTGAGAAGCTGAGAGCAAACATTTATAACATCAGACAGAAGCATGACACTACAGAGCAGGACTCGGGTGCAGAGACCGACCAAGAAGAAGAGGGAAAAGTATACACAACTCAGCAAATGTTCTGTCACATGCAGAAACAGCTCAACGACTGCATACGTCACCATCAGGAAATACTTAAGTTAATGTCATTCCTATTATTCATATTCATCAATCTCTTGCTTCTCAGTTCATTTGATGAAATTATGTCAATTGTAGAGATTCTTAAGTTTTGTCTAATACGAGGGAGGATAACTACATTGAAAGAATTGGGTAACAAACACATCGTAGAATTTGATGTTCATCTATTCCAGATACAAATTTATTCCAGCAAGTAACAAGTACTCTACTGAAAAAAAAATTTCTTCCTTCGCTCTTGTCCTTTTACAGATTCATGTGGGAACTAGAAAAGACAATGAACCCAATGCTAGTGGTCCAGTTCGTTATTATTCTTGCTGGTCTATGCCTCTCAGCGTTCTCATTGGTTACGGTACGTAATGTTCTTCACAACATCAGGGTAAGGTTTGAAACATCGATCAGTAACAATATGTGACATCGACTCAGTGCTGTAATAAGTCATATACGCTTGTAAGCTGCAGTGAGGAGGAGACAATGTTATTACGAGCTTTACTGATAGTTAATGCTACATTGTGCTGTAAAGATACGCCAGTCTCTGTTAGACTGTAAACTAACAAGACTAACCCTAGTACACAAGCATGAATGTGATGTCACGAAGTAAAAGACTTCACTGAAAAAAAATTACCTCTACTACTCTACTTGCGAAGCTCACATTCGATCAGTTGGTAACAAAGTCCCTGTCGTTTGTGATACCCGAAGGTTTGTCACCTCGCTCACAAGAAAACGCCCTATCCTAAGCCAGTTGAAATCAGACCATATCCTCACGAACTATTTCTTTATGGGCCATTTTAATAACATCTTCCCATCTACATCTCCAAAACTGTATCTTCCCTTCTGGTTTTGCGATTAAAATTTTGTATCATTTTTTAATTTCCTCCACGCATAAAGTTTTTACTCCTATACAAGAGATTCAACTGCGATGTTCTTGTTCTGACTTCAGAATATGGGAGACGTCTTACAGATGGCCCAAGCGCTGTTAATATACTTTGGATTCATGACGGAGGTCTGCTGCATTTGCTGGTTCGGAGACGAACTGACAGAAGAGGTCATTATCATTATTACTATCAGTAGTATATTGTAATGAACACAATCATTAGCATATCATCATCATTGCCAGTAGTAATTATAAAAGTAAATAGACTTGTTAGAAAATTACAATCCAAATTGAAAAGACTGCGAAAGAATAATAACACCTTGCTCAACATAACTCAACTCTTGTTTAGAACCAATCGTAACAGTGAATACGATGACATGATTATGTGCTGACACAGGGCGGACTTACGATCCAAGGCAAAATTTTGCAATCCCATATTTCGACCTCAGAATCATTCCTGGGGACACAGTTTTCGAATGCTTGTTCGAGACACAATGTAAAGTTGAACTTCCATCTAGTGTCGATACTTATTTTCTTTCATTACTCATCTGAGCATTCACAAGGGCAGGAATGAAAAGTGGCAGTGTTCTCTGAACGTAATTCACGGCCGTTGTGTCAGAATTTGCGGATGTCAGACCTTTACTGGCGGCCTGTAAGAAACACTACGAGGCGAGGTCGTGTTGAAAAAACCTTCCTCCATAAAAACAAAGAGCACCTTTCTTGCCAAAATAATTCCGTTAAAGTCAGAAATTACAAAATCTCTTATTAATAATGTCGTTATTCGCGAATACTAACACATTAAATCTACTAAAACAAAATATTAAAACGAATCTACAACAAATGTAATAGTTATACCGTCAAAACGAGTTCTTGAATTTAGTAGCAGCATTTTATTCACCAGATGCAATGGTTGAACATCATAACTCGGTTTCAGTGCCTCGTAAAAGAAAGGGTACACCAAGTGAGACAGGACAGGCTTCGCGTTTTCAATCCTAGGTGTGACGTCTCAACAAAGATTTGCTCTGGGAACAGACAGAAAGACGCAGCACGCTTTATATGTGTATATACATATGACAGTTTTGCAGTAAGCACTGTAACATAAGTGTCAGTGTTGCAGGCAGAGAGCATAAGGGATGCCGCTTGGGGGTGTGACTGGGTAGGAACCCCAGTTACATTTCAGCGCTGTATTCTCTTCATCATCGTCGCAGCCAACAAGAAGTTCGAGCTCACTGCTGGGAAGATAGTTGGAGTGTCTAACAATACCATGGCAAACGTACGAATTTCTTTCTTTAAGAACTCGTTGCATAAAGTTGGTAAAACTAACTCATAGGAGAAAAGTCTTCCCTGTCCGTATACCAAGAACTTTTCAAGCTAATTTACTTTCACAGCGTTTTCAACAGGAAAACATGATAAGACAAACTTCCCTGATAGTATTCACGTTTATAATTCATAACAAATTCACTTGTGTCCCTTTGTTTACAGATCTTCAACCAAACACTGTCATATCTCACGTTCCTGATTCAAGCCAAGGACAACATAGACTGAAACCATGAGTCATTTATGACCTCTCATTGACCGGATCAGTGTGATCCTGATACACTGACCTTTAGAAATGTGCACAAAATGTTCATTGTAAAACTTGTTAGAAAAGATCCATTTGGAATACCGAAGAGGTGGAAGGATAATACTAAACTGGATCTCAGAAAAACGAATTGTGGTATGAGTTTCCTTCAACTACCTTAAGATTGCATTCTACGCTGGTCTTGTCGCTAATTGCGTTGTAAAGTCCTTTTAGAATCACCCTGTATAGCTGCAGGCTTCTAATAAGTCAGTTAGTTAACCCTGAAAAATGTATATGTTCATGTCTCTTGTCCCGATATCTGTATATATTTAAAATACCTTAAACTCAGCAAACACATTTACACTCGCCGCCGTGAAAAACGGATATCTCACCAAAAGCCTGAAAAATTAATGAGTAGAAGCAACAAGTTGTTCCTTCTTTCCAGGTTTATTAATGATTTCAAATTCCTAACCGAATCACGCTTTGTATAAGCACGCGCAACTTCCATTTCCTAGCAATGAACACTACATTCTATTAGAGTCTCACAGCTTCCACTCACAGGACTGCCTGTGGGATATTTAACGTCACTGCATAAATATAAGAGCTACTTTATAATCAGTAAGCGTAGTTATTGAGATGGTACGACGGAAAGCGTCTAATGTGTGTTCTGTAATGCTTCGGCTATAATCTCATCCAGGGCAAAGACAATCCTCAGGTTTCCCGGTGAATGCCAGGATAGTGCACTGGAATAGGCCACGACCAAATCGATTCCATTCCTTTCTACTTTACAACTATCCTAACAACTCATTCGGGGGTAAAGAAAATATGAAGTTGACACAGCGTCGTTAAATAACACAAACTCTTTATGCCCTGAGATATTTCGATACATGATGCCGACTTTTATGCTGTCTTAGTCTAGGGAAAAATCAAAAGTCGTGAATTTGTAGCTGGGGGTATTACAAGCAGTGTATACATTAGTTTTTCCTTTATATTTTACAAACACGCAAACACGACTGATAATTACAAGAGACAGGGGACTTCACAGTTACGTAAGCTTAATTGTTTTCCAACTCAGTCTCAATCTCTAACTCCCAATTCCCATTTTAAAAATGTAAGACTGAAAAAGTCTGTTAGATTATGCAACACAACAAAAGTGAAACTCAAAACTGGAGATGTCAAACTTTAAATAAACAGTTGAAGCGTGCAAAAACAAATTAATTTCTAACATCTAGAAGAATTTAAAAATATATTAACCTACTCCCAAGCGTATTTGTGTCAATATGTGTTGCGGGAGAGGGGGCTCTTTGCTCCTTATTTTCACGTTGGAAGTTACTTTCTGAATCATCTTCGATAATGCCTTCAAAAAAACATTGACAGTTTTGGTTTAGTTTCATTTTAAGAGGGGAGGCTTATACTGGACCGACAATTTTCAGCGTAGAAATCAATTTCATCAAAATTCCTATAACATTTTCCGAGAAGAAGCATGCATACCTTCCCATCACACGTCCATTCTGTGCAGCCACAAGAATTAAAAAATATCAAAACCTGGATTCAAAAATGATCTTTTTTCACTGTAGTTAGTTATACATATTACATGAACAAAAAGTTTTAAAAATCTTTTCCGAAGACAAAAAGTGAACACAAACTTCGCTTCGCCATGTCACGCACACCTGTAAGTTCACCGCGATCAGTAACTAGCGCCATTAATATTGCACAAATTCGGCTATAAATTCTGCCCGTACTCGGTATTTATTTCCAATTCAGTGCCCAAAAAGTCAATCTCTGCATGAATATCATCAGCACTTGTAAGTTAATGTAAATGGACGCCATGAACAAAAAGAACGATCTTCACGGGAACGGTATTTCTGAAGAACATTTCACATTTTATTTGCTGATGTTACGAAATGTGGGCTTGTCTTTAGTTTCACGCAACAATTCCAAGATTTATACTCTCTATTCTGCATTTACGGTACTCTGTGCTTACTCGTTTTTCGCGGCAATAATTCTAGACACAATAAGAAACAAGCAGAACTTGCAATACGCAATGCAGAATGTGCATGGTTGTACTGGAATAGCATGTACATTGTGGATACACCAGTGTCTAAGGTAACGCAGTGCTCGTTAACATTTATATCCACCTTCACTAAGAAACAATTTCAGCTCTCAAATTTCTACAGAAAAATTATCTTACATATGAAATGTGTGTGTGTGTGTGTAAACACCTACCATTGTTATGTTATGGTCGATTTTACAAATAGAACTATAAGAAAAATAGCACGTGTCCTTAAGTAAATACAAATTCCAGCGCTGTAAATAAATATTAATGTTGTCGATAACTTGAAGTGCAGTCTTTCTACAAAAAACTATAACAATTAACTTAAAAAGTTAAAATTCTATCAGAAGTTATTGTATACTCTAGTACCAAATATTTTTCAAATATTACAACTAGTTTGAGCGATGAAAATTGGCGTTTCGATTAGCAAACAATACAAAAAAAATCAATTCAGTCAACTTCTAATATCACACATTACCTAAATGGCTTCGAACCGAACGACGTATGGACAACATAGCTAACTCCATGAAGCAGAGTTATTTAAAATATTACAGTTGCCCAGCCGTCAAATACTCGTCGCCTAATATGAAATCCGAAGGTTCATTTCCGCACACAAATAGACCTTATCTTGAGCCAGTTGAATCCAGTCCACTCTGCATAAGATCCCTTTTAACTGTGTCTCCTATCCACGCATAGATCTACAAATTAATCTCTTCCATTTGCGTTTACTGACTATAACTTTTTCTGCATCTCTCAACCGTCCCACCCAGCTGATCACGTCCTTCATGATTTGATGCTGACAACATATGGCGAAGAGTACACATTATTACGCTATTCATCATGAATTTTTGCCATTCTCCTATAATTGCTCTCTCTTGGGCCCAAATTTTACCCTCAACACCTTGTTCTGCAATACCATTAATCTATGTTCTGCCTCACGGTGTGAGACCAAATGTTATTCTCAAACAAAACAACAGGTAAAATTGTTTTTTTATCTTATCGTTTATGGAACAGAAAAACAAAAATTTTAATTAACTGACAGCAAACATTCCTTGAGTTTCATACTAACAACCTAAACACTGATCAAAACATTTTCTGCAAGAATTTTTAACAAAAAGTCTCGCTTTTCAGGGTACAGAAGAACAAATTTGTAAAATTGATGGTTCTAACAAGCTCTTTCACTTGGGAAGACTTGTCTGGCACCAGCGCTGACGGTAAGACATCCACTATGGCCGCCATGTTTCCTCGCATCAGGAAATTTGTAAAGCAAATGGTCATATCCATAATTGTGTTTCATGGAAGCTATGTCATCATCCGCCTTACCAGCAGTGAAAAGCGTGAATTGACGGCAAATTCGTTCTATCTCTTCGATGTATCCCGCAGCCCTGTTTATGAACTGATCCTTCTCAGCCAGGTAAGCTATATCCCTGTCTCATGCCTTAAGGACTGCATTTTGCAGGAACTAATAACTACCAATCTGAGAGATCATACACGTGATCAAGAAATGTGAACAGATGTCAACATACACGTAATAATAAGAATGTAATAAAAAAGGTTACTACATTTGTAAAGAATGCTTGAAAAACCACCGAGTCCCAAAGTTACTCCATCATCATTTACGTAAGGGCAAAATATTTCAGGGACGCCAGACAATATGGAAAGAACAGTTAAGCATGAGATGCCTCCTTTGCCGATTATTTTTAGCAACAATCAACTTCTACTTTCGGGAATGAGCCTCAAGATCAGAAAAAATCATAAAGTCACCCCCCCCCCAAAAAAAAAAAAAAATTGGCAACCGTTCAGCTCAATTTCGTTTTACGACAGTTACGTAGCATGTGACTTCCAAATTAAAATAAAGGAACCTGTTATTAAACCACTTACCAGTTTTATAAAACCGATTTAATGTATCTGGTTCCCACTCTCTTTCCTTCAGCTCACAGGATTCGTTTTTTACGGCGTAATGTTTTTCGACTTGTGGGGGCTATACGCTACGTTCATCTGCATCGCTTGCAGTCAACTGGAGAAGCTGAGGGCAAAGCTACTGGATATCAGACAGAAAGACGACGTAGCAGAGGAGGACTCCGGTGCTGAGACTGACCAAGAGGAAGAGGAAGAGGAACAAGGACTAGTACAAACCTCTCAGAGAGTATTTCTTCACATGCAAAAACAACTGAATGACTGCATACGTCACCACCAGCAGATAATTCGGTACGCCCAACAGCAGCGTTCTTTCATATCATACTACTTACAATAGCTTTAGTGCTACTTGAACTATGAATGTGAAACAATACCACTTTTGTGCTCTTGTTGGCGGGAAAAGCGCTGAAATGTGTTCAAGTTTCGATGTTTTTCAGCTTCATGAATGCAATGGAAGACACGCTGAACCCCGTGCTGCTTGGCCTATTCTTCATCGCAATGACCAGCATCTGTTTAAGCGCCTTCTCCATCGTCATGGTATGTAACCTAAACGCTCTTTTTTTTAGTTCCATTTTTCTTTCTTTCTTTCTTTCTTCCTTCCTGAACGAGATTCGAACTCAGAATTAACTGTCCTGAAGATTGTGTGATTTTCCTTGGGTCAATGCTGGGAAAGTACTTCGAAATAGGTCACGACCACTTCATTCCATGCCCTTTTTCCATTTAAAAATACATATTACCACACGAAATCAAGGTAAAAGCGTAATTAAACAAAACATCAATAAATCCTTGTGTATCTACTTCACCTTCTCATTTGCTCTTATTCTCTTACTCACTTCTCACCTTCTCCAGCGTCCTGATTTGCACACCTGTGCGCAAAAGGTCCGAACGCCTGGTAAAGTAATGATATTGTGTTCTAAAACCCACAGAACCTGGGGGACGCCATGCCAATTATCCAATCGGCAGTTATTTGTGGCGCCATGATGTTCCTCCTGTTCGCATTCTGTCGTCTTGGTGAAGAGCTCACACATCACGTAAGCAGTTTTATGTCATACAAAGTTGTAACACAGCCATAAAGCGCTATTGTCGGCATCACAGTACGCGATGTCCGAAGAGATGCTGGCCCTCTATTGGCTATAATCCGGGGGGGGGGGGGGGG